CTGAGCTCTGTAAACAGGCTTTTTACAACAAAGGAGGTTAGAAGATACAGGAACACATGAAAAGTAGCTGACCACCACCACCTGCTGGCTACATATGGAAATACTTAATAATCACATGTTTAGTTTCATATTTACCCGACATAAAATGAACATAAATAATAAAGAAAATATATATAAAACCAACGTGCATTCCCTTCAAGTATTGTTTTTCGTAGGGATGCACAGATACTTTTCGAAAACCAGTGCAGATACTTGGCATTTTCATGAGAACTACCAGGGTTGCAGCGGTTGCAGCTGGGACCCGGCTCTGGCACTCCACCACTGTCCTGAAATCATTAGTCTGTATTGTTTTAGAAAAACTGTCACATGACAATAAACAAAAATGTATCCGTACTTGTATCTGTGAGGACTTGGACAAGTATCAGTACTTGTATCTGTGAGGACTTGGACAAGTACCAGTACTCGTACTCGCAAAACTGGTATCGGTGCATCCCTTATATATATTTATAAAAACAAAATCGTACATTAAAACAGAGATGTACAAATCCCAGGAGCTCCGTGTGCTCCTTACAAATGACAGCTGCCTCCTAATTTTTGAATTATTTCTCTAGTGTAGTCTTGGAGCTCGAAAGTATCGGTACATGTACTCGTACTTGTACCAAGTACTGTACTTGGTATCTGTGCAACCCTAGTTTTTGGCAATTTTATTTTAAAGTTCTTGAACTTTTTTTTAAAGTTTACAAGCTTAAAGAAAAGCTTTGCGCTCCCTTCATGTCTGTGTATTAGAAGCCCAGGCTGTTCATAGCTACACGAGGGGGGGGGCTGATAACACAAACTTTCATCTGTTTTGACATACTCCTTATTTCACAATTTGTTTTTCCGAATTGTTGAAAATCTGCCACTCTTTGGGGAGGAAGATGTTAAACATGTGTGTGCCCGCCTCAGTCACATGATCAAGAGTTGCTGCAATATAGCGCCAACAGTTTGTGCAGCGCTTTACAATATAAGGAAGACACTACAATCACAATACAAATCAAGACAAGATGGTAAGGAGGGCCCTTTCTCCTTCATACCCCCTGAGCAGATTTTTTGGCTATATTTATCAACACCGGGAATACTCGAGACTCAGAATAAATCTGTGGTTTTGTTTATTTTGCAACACATTGGAGACAGGAATCTGCAGCAGCAGAGCAGCAAGTCAGAGTCAAATTTAAGAAATACAATCTCACACATTCATACAGTTTACATACGTGAGGTACGCATCATATTCTCCTACCAACTAACTATTGGCCACAATTGATTACAGAGAAATCATTATTCTATTGGATAGCTTCTAATAGGTCAATAGCCTTCTTTCGGTATATGGTTATATGAGCATTAATTATTCTTTGGTATATGTTTACACTGAGTGGCCAGTTTATTATGACCACCTGAAATTTGTAGGCAAATTAGCTATAATTTCGCGCTGAAGTTGCTAGAGGGCCAGACCATTATAAATAGGGAAGCAGGTTGTTTACCATGACAGTAGAAGTGATTGTTTTGTGAAGATATGAGTAAACAACGCGATTTAACAGCCTTTGAGCGTGGGATGATTGTTGGCGCTCAAGCCATGGAGCGAGTATCAGCAAAACAGCAGAATTCGTTAAATGTTCAAGAGCAGCTGTTGTTAAAGTGTTTAAAGACTGGACTGTCAGCCGAAAATCTGGGTCTGATCGTGCGAATTGTGGCCGTCAGCGACTAGTCAATGTTAGGGCAGAACGGAGAGTGGCAAGACTGGTACAAGACAACAGAAGGGCAACAGTGCAGTGTCAGATTCCTCGCATCACCTTTCAACATCTCGTGGAGTCACGAGGCGGCCCAACAAAGTCATCTCGTGGCCCATCGAAGTACTGATGGGGTGGTCATAATAATCTGGCCACTCAGTGTATATGAGCATGAATTATTCCATTGGTATATGGTTATAGGAGCATTCATTATGTCTTTGGTATATGGTTATAGGAGCATTAATTATGTTATAAAAACATTTGCAAGGTCTTCTCAATCTGGTCTTCTTCAAAACTGGATGACACCTCATTAGGACATAGTGGTGCATTCTGGACCTCCCTCAAAATCAGAAATGTATAGATTTCCATTCCAAGAAGCAAAGACGCACATTTATTTATTACTCAAAGCAGCTTTAGGCATAATATTGTGTCAGTCCTTTGAATATATAAGTGGGCACATGAGCCTAGCTCAACCTTGAGAAACATATATGCAGCTCTCTAGATGATTCCCATATCCTGTGATACATGTTCTGTTACTGTTTATATGACTTCCCTGCAAAAATAAGATACAATGCTTTGCATCTCATACAGCCACTCCACACAGTGGAGACAATACATTATCGTGTGTTCTGTACTATGTTACACTGAATCCCTTACTGTCACGGAGTTCCGTAGACCCTCTGTATTGCTAGGAGAAACAGCATACAAACACATTCCCCATCACTCGTCAACATCCCCCTCACTGTCCACACTCAGAATAAGTAAATAACTCATGCCCGAGCCATCAGAACACATCGGCACATCTGCCGACTGCAGGAGATTTCGCTTGTGTTACCCCGCCCACCTGTCATTTCTCTAAACCCCACGGATCCCCGCCGAAAGAATTTCTGTCACTCCTCGCACATTATTCTTCATAGCTACACATAAACACCCCTACCATCCATTAACATCCCCTTCACTGTCCACACACTCAGAATAAATAAAAAACTCTTCCTGCCCGAGCCATCAGAACACAGTGGCACCGCTGCAGAGCGCATACGGATTTCTCCTGTGTTACTCTGCCCACCGGCCTTTTTAAACCCGGCGAATCTTCCGCCAATGTCACTCACCTTTTCTTTTGAGCTTGAGAAAGAGGATCTCCTCGAAACGCGACGCTCCTTCACCACTGCTCCGTGCACGTCCTTTCCCAGCCTTCTGCCACTTTCTCTCCACCACTTCCTAAAACACCGTGACTAAGACCAGAGGCAGCCTTTCCACTAGTCCTCTGGCACACACAGCACCCAGTCCAAATCTGTGCTACACTTTGCCCTTCTAGTCCCGGGTTTACCACCATACCCGATGGCATCAATTCCAGCCGTCACGGCCAAACCCTAAGACCTGTTTTGCTTCGCCTCCAAGCCCACATCACACAACACGAACATCACCACACAACACGTCTCGCATCGCCAGACCCTCATTTGGACCCCCCCTTGCCTGGATCCTTGGCACCTCAAGTAAGTCCCCATTTTTTTCCACCTGTATCCCATAGACACTGGTTGTCCCTACACCACTCACATTCCTAGGATTTGCGCTCTTACTGCTTCACTTCCAGAGAGAAGACAGAGACAGACAGACCTCCATCCAGGGTATAAGCAAACAGACAAAAACTGTTGTTTAGGCACAGGCTTGAAGTTCTAGCCTTACTTTAAAGTCCACTAATGAGGGCATGAGTGCACAGCAGAGACCTGAGCTGCAGTACTAAGTGATGTCCAGGAGATGGCAAAGCTTCAAGGCTAATCGTTACACACAGGTAAATATCTACTTCCCAGTCAAAGTAAAAGCATTTAGACTGTTTTATTTTGTTGTCTATTTATCTTTTACGAATTCAATCTGAGAATCAAATAAAATTAACATAAATTAAACAATATATACAAAGAGTGATTCACATTAGTCCCTGCCCCCAAACGAGCTTACAATCTAATGTTCTTTATGTTCATACAGGCACACAAATGCATATTTCAGAGCCTCGTTGGCCTCACTGTTAGTCATTAGGGATGGGTCATAGGGATGACTCTGGTTACATTTGCCCTTATAGAATGGGTGTTACATTGTTCACAGTGAACAGAGAGTGTTTGAAGGTCAATATGCAGCCAAAAAGCTGTAATGTCATTGGATACATGTTTCACAGGCTGATCTTTAGTGAGAGGAAAAGGAGGAAGCAAAAGGCATGGGTCATAGCTTCACAGAGTTACCGTTAGCAAACCCTAAAAAGAAATGTTTGAGCAAAGCACATGCAAGAAGGAATACTAACCTCTCCTGCCACCCACACCGCAGGAATGCTGTTCCGTTGCTGAGTAATGGTCCCCCGAATTCGGCTGGGAAACCGACACTCCTGGGAGTGTTGTTCTCCTTGGTCCCCCATAGTTCCAACTAGGAATGCACCGATACCAATACTAGTATCGGTGCCAAGTATTTGGGTGAGTACTCGTACTAGCCCAAATGTTTCGATGCCTAGCCCGATACTTCCGGTACCAGGAAGCCGGGCAGTGTGTGACTAGAGAGCATGGAGCCGATCAGGAAGCCGGGCAGCGTGTAATGACGCGCTGCCCGGCTTCCTGATTGGTCAGAAGCTGGCCAATCTGGAAGCCAGGCGCCGTGTAATGACCCAGCGCCCTGCTTTCCGATTTGTTGGGAAGCCCGCTTCATGCTCCCTCGTCACCTCATGACGAGGGAGCATGGAGCCGGTGTTCTATTGAAAGTTCCAACGAGATCTCTAACGACATGACTTCCGGATTAGTTAGAAGTAGGAGGTTTGGCCGAGAATAGTCTACTGCACGTGAGCCACCCGCGGCATTTCCCTATACACACACTACACAGCAATAAAGTATTAAAATTAACTAGGGTGGCGAGTCATTACACGCCGCCTTTTTTCCTAAATGGGACTTCCGGTACTCCGTATTGCGAGTACAGGAAAAAATATATTGGTACTCGGTACCCAAATACCGGTATCGGTGCACCCTAGTTCTAACTGGTTCCTCCTGCTCTTATCCACATCAATACTGTATCCTGTATGTAGTCTCTCCTTTACAGGTATATGCTTTGCGCAAAAGCTTTCAAAATGTGACAGGTCTCTTTAAGGCTTGCAAATGTAAACTCCTGTGTAGGCATGGCCCATACCTTTATTTTGGCATTTGCCAATTTACCACAAAGTGACAGGTATTTTTCCCCCCAATGTTACCACTCTGTCATGCCGTGTACCGGCAATCAGTTTTATTGCATACAGAATCCAGCTGCACACAGAAGTGCAGAAACCCACCACTGTGCCTGTATAGTGACTGAGACCACTGAATACAGGGCTTACGGTGGTATTGTTGTTTCCCAGGGTGTATATCAGTGTGTGCTCAGGCAGGTATAGTCTGATTCCCCCCTTCTGGTTTGAGATAGAACAGAGACAGCAGTTGCTTTTTATTGATTTTTCCCATCTGGTTTCGGGGAATATCTTCCACCCTGATGAGCTCAGCAGGAATGCAGTACGGGGCCATGAATGCCCTAAATGAGAGAAGGGAGCCTGGCTTAGTTACGTGCATCATCACATACATGCTGGTGTCCTTCTAGCTGGTCTTTGGTGCCCATAGCTTTACAGGAAATCTACAGCACAAGTTCAAGAACTCTAATAAAATATTAGGATGCTGTTTTATAGCGAGGGGCTGACAATGAATTACAACCAGTTCATTCAAACTATCTTCCTTTAAATGAAGCAGCTAATGTGGAAATGTCCAGCCTCCGGTACCTGACATTCTCACAAGCTATGTGCCTGTATCAGACTCTTCTGTTACATTACATGTTGATAGCACATGTAATGCAGGAGAAGGGAGTGGGGAGCCTCCTTTGTAATATGGGAGCGAAGCCTCTTTCCTGGTTCAGGCCCAATCCACCAGCTCCCTGAGCAAGAGGATGGGTAAAGTTCATGCACATACAAGTGGTATTCTCAGGTCTGACAGGACTGAGTTTTTCTTTTTATAGTCAGGGTTGTATTGTTTTCCTGAAACCTAAAATCTGTGAAATCTAACCATACTGCTGATGTAGAGACACATTGTGCAGCAAGTACCTGTGTTATTCTGCAGACCAGTTTCTGTATTCCTGTGTAGTCTGTGGCTTCCAGGCCTGGTCTGTATGCAAGGCTGCCACTTCTGCCCAAGTTTCCATTAAAAGAGAACTAAAGCCAAACCTTTTCTGTGGCTTTACATCTTGTTTTGGTTACAGAAGTGCATTTACTAACGAACTCCTGTGACGCACAGTCGCCATAGAGTGGACTTCTGCTATATGGTGGTGCAGAACCATGCTGCAGTCAGGAAGGATCCCGGGATCCATCCAGCTGCCTGATTGACAGCTGTGCCTGCCCCCTGTCTGTTCCTCCCAATACTTCTCCTTTAAGTCCGGTCCTGACTTATCTTCAGCTCAGGTTAACAGTTAGGATGCACTGGGGCATGTCTGCAGGTCTTATACAACCCCTGCATGACATCTGAATTGAATATCCCTATCTCCTTATGTATGACCAGACTGGCATTTAAATATAAGCTTAGCTTTAGCTACAGAACTGGACAGAATACAAACGTAAATGTGTGGGGTTTTTTCTAGGAACTCACCTTGCCCACTGCTTCAGTTCATTCAAAGAAAGCGTATGCCCGTCTCGAAGTTTCACAATGGCTGACACTCGCTGCCCCCAGTAGACATTTGGCACTCCAATGACAGCCACATCTATACATGAAGAGAGGAAATGATTAATCCAAAAGCTCTGTGGGTGTAAACATTTTTTGTGGAACACTTACACACCTGTAATGCTTGGATGGGCCAAGAGGTGGCGCTCCACTTCTAATGCGCTTATTTTGTATCCTCCGCTCTTTATTATGTCTACCGAGGTTCGGCCAAGGATCCAGTATGATCCGTCTTTATACACTGCAGTATCCCCTGGAGATACAACAAAAGGAATACAGAACACAGGTCACTATGTCGCCCTGAAGAAGGGACCCTGCGTGGCCCCCCGAAATGTTGGCTATATGACGGTTGTGACATATCACTTCAATAAATAACCATTAGGCATTCAATGCTACTACTTGAGTGCTAGTGATCTTCATCCTCCACAAGGAACACAAAACAAACTTTAGGGTCGGAAAAAGTAGCAATGACCATTAACTTTCTTCTGAATGTATACAGGGCTGTCCAGTCCATAGCCATCCAATGGTTTCTCTTACCAATAATGGGCTAGTCACACCCATGTGACCCTTGCTTTTCCATTTACCCCCAAGTAAAGGATGTACAGGCCACCTCACCCTGGCTGTCCCACTTTCAGTGGTCTAATGCTATCCTATTAAAACCTGCCTGTTCCATTTACACCCACCCCAGACTGTCCTATTTGTTTGACCAGACTCTGTCTGTCCCTTCTATCCCTTCCCAGACATATCTATCTCTTCTGGCTGTTTACAGTTATCATTCCTGTCTGCCTTGTAATAAAACACAGCTATCTGTCCTAACCTGTAAAAGGCACGGAGATAATCTATCCCCAGCCTGTACGCCAATGTCTCTGAGGTAGTAAACACACCAGCGCTCCCATGGGTGGAAGGGAGGAGGGCTTGGGATGAATTAAGAGCTGTGCACATCATCCGATTCCCGGAGTAGTCTGACTGGGCATACAGAAGGCTGAGATGGTTTGGGGGGGAAAAAAACCTGTTTTTATACACTTCTCTCACTTCGATGGCACTGGCAAGAGATGAAAAAGCCGATACAAGCATCGAGTGGCTGATTTTGAGAACAGAAAAGCTATTGTTGACCACAGCAACCAATCAGATTCTAGCTGCTATTTTTTGGTGCACATTAGAAAGTGCAAGAAAGGATCTCAGTGGTTGTGTTACCACATTAGAAAGTGCAAGAAAGGATCTCATTGGTTGTGTTACCACATTAGAAAGTGCTGAGCGAAGCCTCTTTCCTGGTTCAGGCCCAATCCACCAGCTCCCTGAGCAAGAGGATGGGTAAAGTTCATGCACATACAAGTGGTATTCTCAGGTCTGACAGGACTGAGTTTTTCTTTTTATAGTCAGGGTTGTATTGTTTTCCTGAAACCTAAAATCTGTGAAATCTAACCATACTGCTGATGTAGAGACACATTGTGCAGCAAGTACCTGTGTTATTCTGCAGACCAGTTTCTGTATTCCTGTGTAGTCTGTGGCTTCCAGGCCTGGTCTGTATGCAAGGCTGCCACTTCTGCCCAAGTTTCCATTAAAAGAGAACTAAAGCCAAACCTTTTCTGTGGCTTTACATCTTGTTTTGGTTACAGAAGTGCATTTACTAACGAACTCCTGTGACGCACAGTCGCCATAGAGTGGACTTCTGCTATATGGTGGTGCAGAACCATGCTGCAGTCAGGAAGGATCCCGGGATCCATCCAGCTGCCTGATTGACAGCTGTGCCTGCCCCCTGTCTGTTCCTCCCAATACTTCTCCTTTAAGTCCGGTCCTGACTTATCTTCAGCTCAGGTTAACAGTTAGGATGCACTGGGGCATGTCTGCAGGTCTTATACAACCCCTGCATGACATCTGAATTGAATATCCCTATCTCCTTATGTATGACCAGACTGGCATTTAAATATAAGCTTAGCTTTAGCTACAGAACTGGACAGAATACAAACGTAAATGTGTGGGGTTTTTTCTAGGAACTCACCTTGCCCACTGCTTCAGTTCATTCAAAGAAAGCGTATGCCCGTCTCGAAGTTTCACAATGGCTGACACTCGCTGCCCCCAGTAGACATTTGGCACTCCAATGACAGCCACATCTATACATGAAGAGAGGAAATGATTAATCCAAAAGCTCTGTGGGTGTAAACATTTTTTGTGGAACACTTACACACCTGTAATGCTTGGATGGGCCAAGAGGTGGCGCTCCACTTCTAATGCGCTTATTTTGTATCCTCCGCTCTTTATTATGTCTACCGAGGTTCGGCCAAGGATCCAGTATGATCCGTCTTTATACACTGCAGTATCCCCTGGAGATACAACAAAAGGAATACAGAACACAGGTCACTATGTCGCCCTGAAGAAGGGACCCTGCGTGGCCCCCCGAAATGTTGGCTATATGACGGTTGTGACATATCACTTCAATAAATAACCATTAGGCATTCAATGCTACTACTTGAGTGCTAGTGATCTTCATCCTCCACAAGGAACACAAAACAAACTTTAGGGTCGGAAAAAGTAGCAATGACCATTAACTTTCTTCTGAATGTATACAGGGCTGTCCAGTCCATAGCCATCCAATGGTTTCTCTTACCAATAATGGGCTAGTCACACCCATGTGACCCTTGCTTTTCCATTTACCCCCAAGTAAAGGATGTACAGGCCACCTCACCCTGGCTGTCCCACTTTCAGTGGTCTAATGCTATCCTATTAAAACCTGCCTGTTCCATTTACACCCACCCCAGACTGTCCTATTTGTTTGACCAGACTCTGTCTGTCCCTTCTATCCCTTCCCAGACATATCTATCTCTTCTGGCTGTTTACAGTTATCATTCCTGTCTGCCTTGTAATAAAAAACAGCTATCTGTCCTAACCTTAAAACACAGCTATCTGTCCTAACCTGTAAAAGGCACGGAGATAATCTATCCCCAGCCTGTACGCCAATGTCTCTGAGGTAGTAAACACACCAGCGCTCCCATGGGTGGAAGGGAGGAGGGCTTGGGATGAATTAAGAGCTGTGCACATCATCCGATTCCCGGAGTAGTCTGACTGGGCATACAGAAGGCTGAGATGGTTTGGGGGGGAAAAAAACCTGTTTTTATACACTTCTCTCACTTCGATGGCACTGGCAAGAGATGAAAAAGCCGATACAAGCATCGAGTGGCTGATTTTGAGAACAGAAAAGCTATTGTTGACCACAGCAACCAATCAGATTCTAGCTGCTATTTTTTGGTGCACATTAGAAAGTGCAAGAAAGGATCTCAGTGGTTGTGTTACCACATTAGAAAGTGCAAGAAAGGATCTCATTGGTTGTGTTACCACATTAGAAAGTGCAAGAAAGGATCTCATTGGTTGTGTTGCCACACTAGAAAGTGCAAGAAAGGATCTCATTGGTTGTGTTACCACACTAGAAAGTGCAAGAAAGGATCTCATTGGTTGTGTTGCCACACTAGAAAGTGCAAGAAAGGATCTAATTGGTTGTGTTGCCACACTAGAAAGTGCAAGAAAGGATCTCATTGGTTGTGTTGCCACACTAGAAAGTGCAAGAAAGGATCTCATTGGTTGGTGGCGGACACTGTTCGGTCGTAAGGTGGATGAGCAGCAGCGTTCATAATGGACTGAAGGGGGGGTAACCTGCTTATTGGTAGGCCAACAAGGAAGGAGTTGCAGTAGTCAAGGCGAGAGATTACAAGGGAGTGAATTAAGGCCGTGACACACTGCACGCAAAGCAGCGCGGAGCGGTGGCGCGCTGCCTTTGCGAGCAGTGTGTCATGTCACTTTCTTCTCGGCACCTCAGCTTGCGAGACCTCGCAGAGCTGAGCGTGCCGAGATGAACAATTTCAACTTCAGCCAATCGGCTCGCGCGTATAAACCGGCGCGACGGGATGCGACGTCTGGCCGGTTGTTACAGACGAGCCGATTGGCTGAAGGTGCAGTCAATAATCTGACTGCACTCAGCTCACGTGCCGGAGAGCTTTGCTTCGCTCTGCACGGCTTTGCATGCAGTGTGTCACGGCCTTTAGAAGCTTTGCGGTATCATTTGTTAAGAAAGGACACATTTTGGAAATGTTACGGAGGTTCAGTTGGCAAGATTTGGATAGTGATTGGATATGGGGCTGAAAGGAGAGCTGTTATGTTACATTTTATATTACAGCTGGTGTTCCGCTTTAATAATCAATTCTGATTGGTGCCTGTAACGGACAACTGAAACGCACCATCTCGCTAATCCTAAAGAAAGAAGCCACCAAGGGCAGCCCAAGGTATTTAAAGCCAAATAAACAGCCGACATCTCCCTGTATGTTAAACAGAAATTTGCTTTCAATAAAGTCAATGATAACCAGGCAGGACTTGTAATGATTATTCATCGCAGGTAGCGACTGTTTTTTCCCCCCTCTTATAGTCATCAAAATGAATGACCAGATGCAAAAGATTCCTTTTTTTCCCTGCACTGTATCTAGAAATATATTAGAACTGGGCCCACGACCTCCCTCACTTCTCAGCGGGGAGCTGAATCCTCTTTGACAGTGCCTCTTGTATGTGCGTGTGGCATCCCTGAAATCCCCCTCCTTCCTCCAAACATAAGGAGACGCATCAATAGTCCTCCATCTGCTCGCATACATCATGCTCTTCATTTCAGTTTATTAGCCGGAATAAATCATAAATATTTCATTGTACATCAGCACGGCCAGCGGGGGGAGCCGAGTCATCCATCTCACGCCTGCTCCCGTCCTGCCACCCGCCAATAACCCTTCCACTCTATTAAACAAGATTGATACAGTAGTGGAATCTGTTCGCACAGGGACTCAGGGGGGTGAAGAGGCTCAGGGGACCCCGGGCAGGCCGGAGCTGCTCAGGAATCCACCAGGCACAATGCAGAATTACAAATGCACACAGCAAGCTTTTCCTGTTGGTTAGTTAAAATAAGTGAACACGGCGGAGCACAGGTGGGAGGCAAATACAATGATTCAGAGCACAGGAAGAAATTAAGCTTCGTAAAAACAACATCTGATCAATAACGTACTTTACTGTAAAACTATGGCCGAAGAAAAGTTTTCTATGAGTAACGCTGGGGCTTGTTTATAGAAACAAAATATCAACTGTCTATTGATCTATACGAATTGATATCCTATCTATATCTTTGTCTTCCAATGTATAGGTCTGTCTGTCTATCTACCGACCTACGGTATATCTGTCCACCTATCCCTCCTCTTTGATTACCTACCGTATATGTATCTACTGAATATCTATCTATTTATCTTCCTATCTGTATGTATCTGTTTACTGTATATCCATCTATGTATGTATCTATCTATCAATCTATCCTATCCATGTATGTATGTATGTATGTATGTATGTATGTATGTATGTATGTATGTATGTATGTATGTATCTACTGTATATCCATCTGCCTATCCATGTATGTATGTATGTATCTATCTATCTACTGTATATCCATCAGCGTATGTATGTATGTATCTATCTATCTATCTATCTATCTATCTATCTATCTATCTATCTATCTATCTTCTGTATATCCAGCTACCAATCCATCACTCTATCATTTAATCCATCCTCTTTGCTTATCTATTATATATACATATATCTACCTACTGTTTATCTATTCATCCATTAGCTATCTATTGTTCATCTATCTAGCCATCTATCTAACTTGGAAAAAACAAGCAGTGTCTTGTCAAAATGTGGACCAGCTCAATAAATGTATCCATGTTGCCCCATCACAAGACCCGTGCGTGCCTCTTCTCCTTCACTGTCTTTATCTAATTGCCTTCAATGCACCCAGGCAGCTTTTTACTCCTGTGTGGTGTCCACCATTGGACTTTTCTATTTATCTATGCATCTTTCTGTCCATTTATCTATCTATCTATCTATCTATCTATCTATCTATCTATCTATCTATCTATCTATCTATCTATCTATCTATCTATCTATCTATCCCACCCTAATACCTGTCTATCTCATCTGTATCCATAAGATATGTTAGTTTTAATTTTTCAAAGAAACATTTTCTTCATGTCCTGAGACTGGCTGGGTGTTAGGTTATGTGGTCATCTTAGATGCAAATAATGCTTAGTTGGGGCCTCCTTTAAAGTAAAAGCACAAATTTTATGACTTGTTATTGTAGTGTTTACCTTAAAGGAGAACTATGAGGTGAGTGCTTTTCACTCACCTCATAGTTCTAGCCAACCTGTGACAATGAGACTGTCACAGGTCGGCTCAGTAGATCGGGAGGTGAGCGAACACATACCGGCGTTCGCTCACCTCTCGATCCTGTCACGGCTCTCTGCCGTGACAGGGGAGGGGCTGGATTCCCCCCTCCCCGCTCCGATCCGCCAGCGCTGTCTGGCGGAATGGACGGGGGACGGGGCGGGTACAGCTGGCTCTGCCTCTAGATAGGCAGAGGCAGCTGTCAGTCACGCAGCTGGGCGGATCCCGGCACAATTGTCGGGATCCGCTTCAGCTGCGGCGGCTCAGTATACTGCAAGCTGTAGCTCGCGCTATACTGAGCCTAGGGTGACGGGAAGACGCTAGTTTGTGTTCTCCCGTTACCCTAAGGAGAACTATGGGGAAAAGCCTTAACCTCATAGTTCTCCTTTAAAGCTTTTTTAAAAAAAAATTATTATGATTTTATGATTTTTAAATGCTCACTCCTCCATATTTGTGGGGTTTTTTCAGGGAGCAATCATTGGCTCGGTGCAATTACTTGGTTACTACCAGTTGATGAAATAAGATATAGTCTGACTCACAGACCTGCACTGTAAGAAGTAGCACAGATCCTGTGTAGCACTGCAGCGCAGGAATCAGAACCTGTGAATCATAGCAGAGGGCAGCAAAAATTATGCGTGTGCGTTGTTTTACAATGAACCTATCCTTTAAAAGAGAACTCCACAATGCTGTTCCCTTCTGGGGAAGGAAGTGTAATCCATGAATACCACAGACCTCCCTTGTGTCCTTCGCTGGAAATGCTGCAGAAAAGCCTCAGCTCTCCTCACAGCTTCTAGTACAGGAGCAAGTATTTGACTTGAATAGTCGTCCCCTAGAAGTCTACTACTGCAACTGAAGAAATGCTCAGCAGAGCGCCACAACTAAAGACACATCGACAGCAGCTAACGTATAGAAAGCCGAGATTCTCTGCAGTGTTCATAGTGAAGGGCACAAGGAAGGTCAGTGGAACTTACAGATTAAGCGTACCTCATTAAACACTTTTTTCTGTGACGTTCTTCTATATATGAGGGAATTTGACTGTCTGTTCCCAAATAACCAGACCCTGGGGGATCCTAACGCACATGCACATTCAGTGTTCACAGCACGTCAGATGAACAACCTATAGAAACTGATGTCATACCGATTCCTCTGTAGTTTTTTTTCTTTTTTGGGCTAAAACAACAAAGAGAATAAACAAATCAGTGAATGTTCCAACAGAACACATGTGATGGAAGCCCAACACCGGTCTTCTGAAGTTCCCTGTTGCAATTCTCTGTACCCTGTGCCAGGGTGTGACAGATCCCAGGAGCCTGGCGATCAATAAACAATGCAGCTGCTAGTTAGTCCTTTTATTATTATAAATGGAAGACCATGCTCACTGGCTACAAGACTTGATTGACTTGCTCCTGCATTTAACCTCTTCAATCCTGTAGATCAGGGGAAGGCAACCTTGGAAATCAAGACTACAAATTCCATAATGCTTCATCAGAGTCTTGTAATGCAACAGGGGACTTGTAGTTCCACAACAGTTAGAGAGCCAAGATTGCCTCCTCCTGCTATATACAATGCGATCATGGTAAGGCCACCCAGAAATCAAGCATATCGCCCAATATTCTATCCATGGGCCAGCTTTAGTATGTTACTGTTCTCTCCAGTAATACCACTTGGTTGCCGTCCCAGCGTCCCTTGGAATTAGTGCCCTGTGTATCTATTTTTAATGCATCACAAGCCAAATGTTCAGTTTAGAGCCAATAAACTAAAATACAAAAAATAATGTGCACCTAGCGTTAAGGGACGATTGCCATGCATCATAAAACTAGCTCTTGTCCCCTTTTGGGATTTGTGTGTTCAAGTCCTAAATGATAAATCTCTGCACAACCGTAATGAGCACATTTTCAAACATAATGGATATGAATTAGTACAGAGAAGGTTTGTAAAACATTAACACACCCGGATAGCATTATTTACATCAAGCTGATCTTTAGTATATCTCAAAAATATTGAAATTCTTACAGATTAAATTTGAAGCTGAATTTAGAAAATACAAAACACAGTTCAAGCCCAACTCTGTGCACAATAAATGTACCCAGGTTAAAGCAGTTATACATTTTGTTGCCTCCAAAGCCACCGCCTGTCATGCAGGCTTTCTTCTACAGCCGGCAAATTTGCTTATGTAGATGTTGGGGGAAGTGCAGTTCCTGATGTACTACAGGCCTGCTCGGATGTAAGAGATGCATGTCTTATAGACTCCAGGGCTGAAGTCATGTCTACGACCTCCCTCTTCTCCAGGCCATTCACATAACGCAGACTGGGACTCTGCATTGTGAATGGCCTGGAGGAGAGGGAGGAAGACACATGACTCCAGTCCTGGGGCTGTGTATTGTGAATGGCCTGGAGGAAAGGGAGGAGGACACATGACTCCAGTCCTGGGGCTGTGTATTGTGAATGGCCTGGAGGAGAGGGAGGAGGACACATTACTCCAGTCCTGGGGTCTATGAGATCTGCAGAACTTACATTTACATAGGCTGGTAGTACAGCAGGGGCTGCACTTTCCTTGGCACATAAACTAACAGATTTGCTGGATGTAGAATAAAGCTTCCATGATGGGGGACGGCTTTTGAGGGAATGGAATGTATAACTACTAAAACTCTGGAAAGTTTTTTGTGCCCAGAAAAGACCTTTAAAATACACATAAGGCTCACTATACATGTAGCAATCTGCCAGTACAATCAGTATTTCTGTCCATGCAGTACTGGAATTAACACAGCCCTGCCAGACAGCAGGCGTAGCCTGGGGGGCTGACTTTTCTTTGCCGCAGTTAAGCAATACAACTAGGTCACATGTACCCAACCTCTGATTGAGGTACTGGAAAGAAGAATAAAAGTGCTGGATTGTGAATTGAAGTGCCACACACACTGTTTACTAATCCATCTTTATACAATGTGGCTTTGAGGAGACAGGATAGAAATATCCAACACGTTTCGGGGGCTCATACAGATACCCCCTTCATCAGGGCTTACTAAAGGAGAACATGTATCAGGATAGTGATGATTTGAAATTGGATACCATTCTGTCCCTTGCGTGAGAATGCAATTCAAATAAATGTAATGAATTTTAAGGAATACACAATTGTTGTGTTTCATCTGTCTGGAGCTCAGCTTTAAAGCTTTTGCTTGCTCCCTCTAGAAAACTGACGTCCTGCACAAAAAATCCTTTGACTTGTTCTCTCCTTTGACCTGATCTGTTCCTCCCATTGTATCTCTTACCTGTTTTGAACCAGCCCTCAGGTGTAAATGCCTTCCTCGTCTCCTCCTCCTTATTCCAGTATTCTTTGAACACAGCCGGCCCGCGAACCTGCAGTTCACCTTCTTTGTCCTCCATTTCTGGAGAGACCTAAATAAATGAGATTTGGATGAGCTTATGCAAGATCTGCTCCCACACACACACACACACCTGGGTACCCCCCGATGCAGACACACACTCTCCCTGCTTACAGCTGGTGGCGACTTTGTGTGCTTTCTAAAGTTTTGGTAACGCTCCCACATCTTTAGGAAAACATCTGCTGCACTCAGCATCTGCCAGTTGGGAGTCTTGGCACAGGCTGGCGCCAGTTGGCAGAGATAGAAGGGAGAGGGTTGCGGGAGGGGGATTCAGAAAAAAAAGGCGTGAAAACAATAACTCAAAACTTACATTCTGTATCTGTGTGCAGGATGGGGGTCCCCCCACCTTCCCGATTGGTGTATTTAACCCATCAATGGCGGACCTATGGGAAGGGTTACGATTTTTTTTTTTTTAAGTCAACCAAATCTTAAAGCAGAACTCTTGTCTTCTAGTAGGCCATTCAGGTGCTTTACATGTTAAAATGAGGAGCTGAAACCTTTTTTTCCCAATTAAATTTTTCATCTCCCTCTCCTGCAACGCAAAGGAAGCTATTAAGTAATCCAGTGCCTGACATCCTGAAAAAACTGCGCCTGTGCCTTTCAATACGACAATCTGATCCGACAGTGCAGATGACACAATGCAGAAGAAGGACCTGTTTTATTATGGGAACAGATTTTTGTATTTCTTATGGTTCAGACGTGTTTAGCTATGACTTGCAGAGAAGGACGAATGACTACACACAACTGCTTGTGTCATAAATTCCTCCACAAGTAGGTGACACATGCCCTGCACTCCCCTCCTTGAAAACAGGAAGTAGTTTCTCTAATAATGGGCTGTTGGTTTTCTGAAATGACACCAACATTATTGGAAGTGACTAGTGTTTATTAGAGTTATCCTTTAAAGTGGAGCTCCAGATTGCCCTCCCCTTTGCTCCTTGAAGCCCCCATGGATCTAATTAAAAAAAAAAAAAGCAGTCCGTACATAGTGCACCTTTTTCGTGCAGTCTTCAGGTCAGTTCACTGACGTCCTTCTATGGTGGTGGCAATGGCTGCAGTCTTTCTTTCTGAACTGAACAATGTTCATGGAATGATGTGTAAAGCTGACCATGCACCTTATGATTCTTCGTTGAACCCCCCGGGCTGAACAAGAAGAAAATGCTTGATTCCCCCCATAGTTACATAGTATTTGAGATTGAATAAAGATACAGGTCCATCAAGTTCAACCTATTGCGTGTATGTATGTGATTCTGCATGTGTATGCGTGTGTACGAGTCCCCGTGTGATCTTATTTTTTAAGAGTACCTGTACCCCTGTATGTTATGGTCTCTGAGGAAATTGTCCAAATGCTTTTTGAATGATTCAACACTCTCAGCTAATACCACTGCTTGTGGAAGTGAGTTCCAGACCCTAACCGCTCTAACTGAGAAGAAGCCCCTATGCCCCTTGTGGTTAAATCTTTTCTCCACCAATTTTAGGTGGTGGCCTCTAGTCTTTGTTATGGAGTTTATAGTAAAAAGTTTATTGCTGATGTTGCTGTATCACATTGAATATCTTGTATATCAAAATCATGTCCCCCTTTAATCTCCTCACTTCCAGCATGAACATATTTAAATTTAGTAAACTTGTCTCATAGCTTTGGTCCTCCATCCCCTTAATTAGTTTAGTTGCCCTTCTCTGGACTCTCTCCAGCTCCAGGACATCCTTTCTGTGGACTGGTGACCAAAACTGGACTGCATACTCTAGATGAAGCCGAACCAGCGATCTGTAAAGTGGCAAAATTATAGATTTGTCTCTACAGTACATTCCCTTTTTAAGACAAGACAGTACTCTGCTCGCTTTGTTTACCGCAGCCTGGCATCGAAAGCTATTATTCAATCTGTGATCTACTGTGACCCCTAGATCCTTTTCCATTTCTGACTTCCCTAGCGGGGAAGTCAGAAATGGAAAAGGATCTGACTTTCCCCAACTATGCACCCTGTCAGCTATTGTATCCTGATAGCAGGTGCCCATGGCTGTATTGTATTCACATAGCCAGCGCACAAGGATGTCGGAATATCCAAACAGTTTTGGCTGATTGGCTGCAGTCACTAATCAGCTGACAATTTTCCTGGGTCCTTTGACAAAAAAAAGTTGACTTTTGTCGGACCAGGTAGAGCCAGCAGGGCCAAACATGGATTGCAATGTAATCTGTATATGACCGCTCAGTCCAGTAGTGCTGTGAGCAGAGACTGCATGATGACGGGCCCCCAGGGGGGTGTCCATGACAGCCTGGGCTCACAAGAAGTGGGTTGAATGACAATGAATAAATGGCGTTGGATGTCAAATCGGTAAGTCTGCAGGGAACAAAGATGAGTACTGCAGCCAAACATCCTTAGTTTCACTTTAGTAAGTTAAAGGCAAGTGAGCGACAACCGACTGCAACCGATAAGAAATCATCTATCACTCATCTGTCAGTAAACTGCAATCTGCTCGCTGTGGGTTCCTGCACATCGCACATAACCTTAGCTGTTTATTATATAGCCAAATGAGTCATTTGGATTAGTTGCTTTTTCTTTACACCCATGAATATTAACTCTCAGTGAAATTTTATTTCCAAATTAATATTGATGTCCCAATATTTCTGCCGGGAGAAGGAAAAAAAAAAACTCAACAAGTTGTGATGGTGTCATTTCACGTACAGCCATCTGTTGAAAGAATAAATAAAATCAGAAGCCAATCTTGTTCCCTGCTGAGCCTAACATGCCCTTCGGAAGTATGGGAAACGTCTATGGTAAGAAAAGCAGATTGGCAAAGACTTGTCTTGCCAGGGAAACTTTAATGATAACCTCAGCTGAACCCTCGCTCTGTGTATGTTGGGGTGCGTGGTTATCGGGTTGTAGAGCAAATGTCAGGATCTTACTTCTGTGTCCCAATATGGAAAGTTTCCCTTTACTTCCTGTCCAGGTAATGTTTTCAGACAAAACAGAAAAAACCCAATAGGGACTGTCTTGCACAGTTGTACTGGCTCCTCTCCTGGACTGAAATTGCTTACTCCGATATCACTGCACACTGTGAGCTTCTTGTAATGTGCATTACAAGTTGCGGCAAGTAATATAGAGCTTGCCTTATTTCCTGGCCCTTAGCTCCTAAGGCCCCATTCACTGGAATCGGCCGGCGCGTACAGCTCCGTGCACGGCTGTATCGGGCAGCTCCCGGGAAGGACAGGTGCTGCGTGTGATTAGTAGACAGCCCCTGTCCTTCTCTATGGGACCACGCGGCCGTACGCCGCCCTACGCTCACCCGCCCTGCACGTCCGTGCGGGTGCCGGTGAGCGTACTCGTACACTAACAGGATGTATCCTGTCTGCATCCGAGCCAGGAAACACTCACCCACACGGACGTGCACTTGAGGTGAGCGTAGGGGGGCGTGCGGCCGCGTAGTCCCATAGCGAAGGACAGGGGCTGCGTACTAATCACAAGCAGCATCTGTCCTTCCCGGGAGCGGCCCGATACGGCCGTGCACGCAGCACGGAGCTGTACGTGCCGGCCGATTCCCGTGTGAATGGGGCCTTACCCTGACTGTCCCTGGCCCGCCCCTTTCATTCATTGGAATTTACTTCTTTCAATCAAGGAGGCTGAGCTTCACCTGTGGGTGTTACCTTGCACAAATGCAGTCTGCCTAGAAACACCCACTTCTCACCATTTCTGTATCCAGTGGTACTGTATACAACTCCAGTATCCAGTACCACTGGACCATTTTGGGCCCATTCACAGCATGTTCGGATCATCTCCAGACCAGACCGTTTGCAGACCCAAAATGCATCCTAATACATCCCTATGCTATTTCTGGCCTCCTATTCACACCAGGGCAGCCCGTTGCAGACTAGACCAGAAAAATACTGCTTATGCTATTTTGTCTAGTCTGGAATGCACTGGAACGCATCAAAAAAGGATCAATAACGCATCCAAGCGCATTGGAACGCACCTGTAAGACCATTTTAAGCAAAAAAAGAAACAGAAAAAATAAATAAAAAAAAAACATTTCCAAACGTGGCAAAATCGAGGGAAAAACGCAATGCACTACGTTCAAGATCTGGCCCAGTAAATGGTGTGAACCTGCCGTTAGAGTGGATTAGCCATTTAAAGGCCAGTGGCATAGAATGACCTTGCTAGAAGATGCACTGGTCAGGCAAAGAGTCTGGCACTGCTCTCTATCACATACCGTGGTTCCATCAGCATCTCCTTCAGCAAGGACAGTGTAGGACATTCCATGTTTCTGCTGCACTTCAGTAACGATACGGACTCTTACGCCAGGTAAGGGGTTGCCCACTGATCCTGAAAGACCGATGAGAATATACATGTGAGCATATGTGATTAAACCTAGTAAGCATCTCTGCTACATAAAAAATATCTTTATGTATCTTCTATTCTTCCACCTCACTCTATGCCTTTTATTTATTTGCTGCATTATAGTAGTCTAGTGGTATTACAAACACCCATCTGCAGGAAGGATAAGGTCAGTGCAGAGTTTGTCAGTCAGTGACACATACCAACCACATGTCCTTTTCCCCCAGTGATAACTCATCTGTCTGTTACAGATGGTGAGGGGGGCTATCGAGGATCCAGGCAGTTTTGTCCAGTACATTGAGAAGCACTATTAAATCTTCTAGTTAGCCAGCAGATTATTTTACTCCAGAAGCATAAGACCACTGCACAAAAGGTAAAACCATATATTTGTATGGCAGCTGTTGACCGCACCATGGTCCACATAAAATGAATGAGCTCTAAAATCTGTGAAAAGATCCCCTGCTGAAATCTCCACTTTGCACGCCGGCGTACCTTGGATGCCCTTATGCCAAGCAATGAAGTCACCCATATCATTTGTCACCTACAGGATTCTCCATAGGAACCTACGTAGTTCCCACATGATCTATAAAACCCAATCGTCATTGGGTCATGACTACTGAAATTCCACATAGACTTGTGTACTTCTAGTTCTTGTGTCAGCTGTCATTTAGAGTTGCTGTCCTGCCATTGACATCAATGCAGAGCATGGCCGTAAATGGCCCTGCAGGAAAACCTGATGTACGCCATCTGTGAGGTGCAAGTGGTAAATAGGAAACATTCATAATGCAATATTACATATTTACCCAACGGGGAGTTTACAGAAAATATACAGAATCACACTACACATGTCCTTTAAGGCAATCCCTAAAGCACCGGTAGCTTTAGGATACAGCAAGGTCACCTCCCTGCAATCAGTCTATAACTGGCCAGTAAAGGAGCAGCAGCAGGCTGATTAGGTCACCCCTCATCTCTCCTCCTGTCAGCATGTTTCTTATCAGCACATGTGCTTGAAGAACCTGATTGGCCCATAGTATATCCCTTCTTTTCTCAGTGTAAATGCTGCTATACAGGAGGATTATTAAGAGGCTGATAATGACATTCAGGAATTTACACTGCCTGCACTTAAAAATACATCACGTATTGCTGAGCTCTACGCAGATATAAAAGACACACAAAAATGCAGCTCTGTAATCATTTATACAATTGTAACCCGCTTCACGAATGCTTCTGTTCGCAAACAATTTGGTGCGCGAACAGGAAGTTCGGCAAAACTTTACTTCCGTTCACAAACTCCGCATCGGGTGGCGAACACAACCACAGCTATCTTCCCTGCTCTGACACGTGGTCGTGGCTTCCTCTAGTCGAGATCGCGGTCTGATCACAGTTTGATTCGGTTCCCGACCAATTCGGTTCGTGACCATAATCGTGGAAAGAATTACGTTCGTGAACCGAGGTACCACTGTATATCATTAAATGTAATTTTCAAATGTAAGCAGCGTACGTACCTGACTCTGAACTCATATCAGTATCTTTATAGCGGGGCTGGAATGTGAGAGGAAGAAACAGCACAAGGAGCCACTCAGTTCATGCGCTGACAAGATGCATGCTGATAGGAAGAGAAAGCAGAGTGACAGAGAGATGAGCTCATCACTGTGCTGCTTCACTTTTCACTGTCTGGTCATAGACTGGATAGGTCCAGCACAACTTGGGTTCAGAGGAAGTAGTCTGAATGATGCTGGACATCATATTGAGGACATCTAGTGGCAGAAAAAAAAGTACTGCGGGGTGGAATCTCTGGAATGAAGCTGAATATTTCAACAAAAGCTAATATTGTTATTCGTTATTTGTATCTTGTTATTGAGTTCTGTTTTAAATTACTTATCTACTTATCTGCATTGACTGGTATCTTTTGTTATACAGGTCTGGAGTTCCGCTTTAAGCAATGGCTTGATATAACATAAGAATACATGGAAATAAATCCGGGGCCGGATCAGGAAAGTTACCCTTTCATAGGGGCATTTATAAAAGAAACCGGTGCAAATGATGAGCTAGGAGCATGTCTCAACCATATACAGTACAGTGGCTATTTGCGTTGACGATGCTTTATATGGAATAACGCTATGGCCTTTTTTTTTTTCCTGCTGCATTTTGCAAATAAATATGCTGCGCCTAAAATTATAAGCTACAACCTATTGAGGATGCTGCATGTGCTGGGCTCAGGGGGTCCACATGCTGCTGTGTGTGGAGGGGGCCCTAGGAGAATTGAGACAGGCCGGTGATAAGACACACTGTGATCCGCCTGTCACAATGCACCAGGTCCCTGCTGGAGCAGCCATTAGCCAACTGTGATCTAAACCTCCAATTAAAGCCCTGATTAGACCCGGAGAGGCGTGAGCTGCCCATGAATAATTCATAACTCTGTGCGTGAACAGAGAGAGAAACTCAGGCGAAGGCAGCAGAGTTAACTCTTTCGGCACTCCTAGTCTCGGGTATAAACAGACGGAGATGTTATTCCAACCGCTGTCTTCCGGAGAGCCTGCAAGCGCTGGCCATACACGTACCAATCCCATTGTTATATGGAACAGGAATTCCAATCTTTCCATGACATCTCCCAAATATTGTGTGCTTCTAAATGCTGCTTTCATTTGTCTTTTAACATTCTTCCAATTGCTTCCAACTGGTTTTGCGGCAGATGAAAGACCGATTTCATGGAGATCCGATGGTATATGGAGCAAGCCCCTGCCAAACGCGAGCTTGAATTTGATTTATTTTACTAAACATCAAAGACGAGCTAAAGGCAGATATAAAAACACCATTAAAGGCCGATTCACACCACATCTAGATCATGTCCAGACCAGACCAGATTGTTTCCGGGCCCAAAATGCATCCTAATGTATGCCTATGCAATTTCTGGCCTCTGTTCCCACCAGCGCAGTCCGTTCCAGACCAGACCAGACCAGACAAATACTGCTCGTCTCATTTTGTCTGGTCTGGAATGCACTGGAACTGCGGACAGGTTCACACCATTTTGCAGACCAGATCTGGTCCGGAAAAATGGTGTGAACCTGCCCTTAGGGCTCGTTCACACCATGTCCGGAACATGTCCAGACCAGAACAATTTGTTCCCAGACCAAAAAAGCATCCCAATGTATCCCTATGGTATCTCTGGGCTCTGTTCACACCAGTGCAGTCTGTTCTGGACCAGACAAAAAAATACTGCTTGTCTCGTTTTCTCTATTCTGGAATACAAACGCATGCAAACGTGCTGAAATGCACTGGACTGCACCTGAAAGAAAAGAAAAAACCCGCTCTGGAGCATGTCAAAATCGTGGTAAAATAGCGGTAAAAACACGGCAATCTGGTCTGGAAAATGGTGTGATCCTTTCCTTGAAGCACAACTCCAGTAACCCCTGTCCCCCACTTATTTTATTCCCCCTCTACATACCTTAAATCCTGGAGTATTCTGGCTGGTCACGTGATATCTTCAGGTCCAATCCCCTCACCCCTTAGATGGCCCCCGCTCAGCATATATTTTTGCATTTTTTTTTTTTTAACATACCTATTTTGAGATGTCTTAGGACAGTCATGTGACACACAGGATCCTGGTCCTCTTTTCAGGCACTGGGTGACCCTCCATGATACAAAGAGAAATCACTGCACTGTGTGTGTAAAGTGCCATGGTGATGTACCCCCCGGGGGGCGGGTCCATGACACTCTGCACTCACAGGAAGTGGGCTGAATTACACAAGGTATATCATTCCACCGATGTGAAGAACGGTGCTAGACCTCGTTGCAGGTGGGTCTTTGGTGGACAGTGTTGGAGAGGAGGGGAGTACGAGTACTTCAGCCAGAGTTGCATTTTCTTTTTGTTTTTAAATACTTAGGCAATTTATTAAAAACAAGCCAAACCAAAGCAAACAAAACCCCAAATACCTAGAAATGGGCTTTAATGTCTTCATATCAGATATACGCCGCACAGTAACAGGAGGAAAGGGAGGAGCAGTACTAGTAGCCAATCAGGCATACCATCAGACACATGTGCTGACAGGGAAGATGCAGACAGGAGGAGAGAGAAGAGTGAGCAAACCTCTACTGATTTATCAGTTTGTTGCTGCCCCTTCACTGTCCAATCAGCAAGCTGTTATGACATCACTATCTTCCATAATGGTAACAGAGAAAGTGGTGTCACCCTCCTGGCTGTGCTGTAAAAATGAACCAATTAGAATAGCCATTGATGAAGATTAATGCTGTTTAGCAGTGATCCAACAACACAGGAAGGACACTGCTTAATTTGAGCTGCTTACCCACCTACATGCAGGACGAATGTAAACAACACAGGGGGACCTAAGGAGTACCTGGCACTCTTGGTCCATTTAGTGGGTTGGTTAAAGCCATGCCAATTTCTGTCATGCCGTATCTCTCCAGAAGTGTGTGTCCAGTGATCTCCCGCCATCGCTCCAAAACTGGCACTGGCAGAGCCGAGGAACCAGAAACCATTAACCTGATGGGAGGAAATCAGCAGTGTGCAGGTTACATAACTATCCTAGTTTTTTCTTAAAAGCTACTTTGTCATGACCACAAAGCATGCAACCAACATGTCAGCTGGTAATCACACTATCCCATATAAAACCTATTGCTTCTTATAAAAATAACTACAAATAAGACTTTAAAGCAGAATTCCGGGTAACATTTTGATTAAAGGAGAACTAGGTGAGGTGAGTGATTTCCCCTTATCCTCATAGTTAGAGCCGACCTATGACAAAGAAGCTGTCACAGGTCGGCTCTATCAATCGGGAAGTGAGCAGAAACATACCGCCGATCCGCTCAATTCCCGATCGTCTCCTTGCAGTGAACGGTGACTGTCAGTCACGGCTCCCCGCAGGGATTCCCCCCTCCCCTCTCCGATCCTCCAGCGCTGAGTGGAGGAACGGACAGGGAGGGGGCGGGCACAGCCTCTGCCTCTAGATAGGCTGGGCCAGCTGTCACTCACACAGCTGGGTGGATCTCGACAGTACATAAATCAGGTCTAGTGCTACTCAGGTCATTCTGGTTTAAATCAGAGCCGTCGTACCTGATTTTCTCCCGGCATGCTGCTCGCACAAAGTCTTTATCATGTCGGCCAGATAAATGGCAATCATAGTATTCAATCAGTTTACTGTAGATAGTAGGGACAGACATGAAGATGTTGATTGAAGAAACGTCCCTGCTTAAAAAGTGTTCCCATACCTAAACGGAGGACAAAAAGGATCAAAGCACTGTTGCAGTCATTCTAGGCTCGAAAAAATGATTATTTGGCCTAAAACTACACACACTTATCTGAAATGTTTCTTTAATAGCAATCAGTGAGCTATCAAGCAAACACCATGAGGGTTCCCAAAATTAGAATGCCCCCTGAAGTCCAATTAACTTAATGCTGATGTCCAGGCAAATAGCTAAATCAGAGATGAAATACATATATGGGAGTTGTTATACCTGCCAAAGGATTTGTATTTCTTTCCAGTACTGAGATGCACACAGCTCTACCACACAGCACAGCCCTGTCTAGCAGAGGAGGAGACCTGATTTGTTTTGCTGTAACTAAGCTATGATAACAGGTCTGGTCCCTCCCCTGGCCTCTGACTGGACACTGATAGGAGAAGCAGTAGACTAATAAGCTAATCTCTGTCACTCGGCTCTCTCCTCCTATCAGTATGTGCATTGTTATCCCATGAGCACTGTAGCACAACTGATTGGCACCTTGTGCTGCCGATTCGTCTCCCAGTCTGTGCTTTGCTGTACAGGGGATTGCAAGTAGCTGATACCAAGTTGAATTCAGGTACTTTTTGCATTTAAAAATACATTTGATGACATATTAAAGTCACATTTGTCCCCCCCATCCAATGCTGGTGTAAGGACTTACCTTAACTGATGCCTCTTGATCTGATCATCTTCTTCTTTCCAGTAGTTTTCAGGAGTCCCTCCAGCGCTGGTGCCGGTCTCTGATCCAGCGCAGACTCATGTCCCATGGTGCCTGTCCGCGTGCATGCTCGCAGCTGCGTGCATTCACCTCCACTGTGTCTCACCTCTTCTCCCTGCCGATGATCTTCACTGTGCATGCGCCCGCCCCATCCTCCTGCACGGCCGCTCGAGAAGCTGGATTTTACAGACGGGAGCAAGCGGCGGAGACACCCATAAGTTTTTACCTCTTTGGTATTTTTAAAAATGTTTTTGCTTTTATCTACCGCTTGCTAGCAGTAGATCTATGTAAAACAAAATATGTGACTTTAAGGGCTTGTTGAACACTGAATGCGGTGCGTTCCAGAGCGGTAGCTGCTGGAACGCACCGCAATCCCTCACAAAACCTCCCCCTACGTTCTGGGGTTGGAGGGGGTGTGGTGATGCATTGAATGCAATGGTACCCCTTCCACGCGTCCCCCCCCCCCACCTGCAGTGCGGTTGGACGCGTGGCAAAACTTTGCCTGTGTTCCGTTCCACTGCAAACGCAAAAAATGCTGCTTGCTCTATTTTTTGCATTTGCAGTGGAAGGGATTTGATTTTTCATTATGGATATTTTGTAGCAATTACATTTACACTAAGGTGCATGTTATATACATGCGTTTCTTTTTTGTTTTGCACTTTTTACACATTGTATCACATTACTCCAAGCTCAGTATCTACTATATCTGACACTTTGCGGTCTCATTCACACAGCGCAGCTTTTACCATTAATTTCAGATGTCATACTTCTGCTCTCTCCTCCTATTGGCATGTTCCCTGTCAACACATTTGCATGCAGCACACTTGTGACTGCGAGAGAATGATATCAAGCCAAATTCATGTACTTAAAATACTTTATATATTGTATTAATAAATACAGAGCAGCATTTGGGTCTTTTATATCTGCCCGGGGCTCATTTTTAATGATTTTGAATAATTATGCAGCTGCATTCATTGATGTTTTAGCATATCTGCCTAGAGTTCAGCCCTAAGGGATCTCCAGACATCGGAGAACTTCTGGCCAATCTGGCTGTTTACTGTTGGATTGGGGATTGCTGGCATGTCTGTAGGCTGTGCCCCGCCACTTGAGACATCCGCTGCCCTGGCTTCTTAGGGTGCAGAGTCGATCAGCTAGGTTTTTTTTTTTTTTTTTAGCCAGGCATGTCTACTAAGTGCGCCCTCTCCCCTGTCCATAAGTACACATCCCCAATGCAAACATTTATAGTCATACTGCAATCATCCATTTGCTACAATGCTCGGAGGCGGAATTCCTGTATGTAGGTAGCTATACGGCCACTAAAATAACTTTTGCACACTTTGCAGTAATGCCTTCAAATGTGCACTTGTTGAAAATAATATAGAGTACCCCTTTAACACATCAGATTGGCTATTAATGAGCCAAGGCTGCAAGAGACGACTAGCAGAAGCCACATGGTCCCAGTGGAGTCACCTGTAGGGAATGTGGGCAAATGCATACACATACTGAGTTCACTTGCTGCATTCAGAGGACTTTCTACTACCTCCCTCCCCTTTCCTGCTCAGCTGATGTATGTGATTCCTAACAGGGCCTGACAGGCCTCCCCATTCCAGCACTGTGCCACGAGCAGAAGCCTTCACAGGGAAAAGGAGCACGGGCTGATTAAAGGTGAATCTCGCACAGCCTCAGCACACGGACGCCCTCAGTGATCTTGTACTCCAGGCTTTATATTCCCATGAGCTGTTTATAGTTTTCTCTTTGCCCCCCCACCCCAGCGTCCTCCTCACCCCGCTGCTCCAGAACAATCCTCTCCCAAAACATTGCAGATATAATGTGCTTTACTGCAGCTGAGAGAGACATCAAAAACCACCGAGCAACCTCTTAATTCAAAGCAGCTGGGCGAGAGAACCACGGGGGGGGGGGAATATTTGTGCTGCATTTAGAGCAGACGGTCGTATCTACAAATAATGGTCGTGGTGCAGGTCAAGCGCGATCTACGCGTTTACCTGGAAGTACAATGAGAACTTTACTGGGAATTTCAGAAGTCTGAGGCATCCTGTTGTTGATCCTGGTTTTTGTACAAAACAAATTGCATGTTGCAAAAAGAGCCACATGATACAATTGGGACACGATGTGGCCATATGTTTGTGTTTTCTTTTGTGGCTAAAACAGCCTCCACTCTTCTGGGAAGATTTTCAACAAGATTTTGGTGTGCGTCTGTGGGAATTTGAGTCCATTCAACTAATGTTGGATTTGAAGACCTGGCTCATAATAAGCGTTCCAATTCATCTCAAAATCATAGCATTGAGGTCAGGGCTCTGTGCAGGTCACTCAAGTTCCTCCACACCAAACTCATCAAACCATGTTTTTATGGAGATGGCTTTTGTATACAGGGACACAGTCCTGCTGGAACAGAAAAGGGCCTTCACCAGACTATTGCCACAATGTTGGAAGTCCAAAATTGTCCACGCTGCAGCATAATCCATTGCCTTCATGGAAACACCTGAACCAATAACACTGGTCTACAAATTTTGGGAAATGATCGACCTCTGAGATGAAATGTGTTAATTCTGACATATATTGATGAGATGAATCAGAAAACAGGTGATAACGATGCTGGTTGGTTGGCTAAAGTTTCCAAGATATTTCACAATAAAGATTTATACACAGGCGAGTATACACTCACTGGGTGGCCAGATTATTATGACCATCCTATCAGTACTTCGTTGGGCCACGAGATGACTTAGTTGGGCCGCCTCGTGACTCCACGAGATGTTGAAAGGTGATGCGAGGAATCTGAAACTGCACTGTTGCCCTTCTTTTGTCTTGTACCAGTCTTGCCACTCTCCATTCTTCCCTAACATTGACTAGTCGCTGACGGCCACAATTCGCACGTTCAGACCCAGATTTCCGGCTGACAGTCCAGTCTATAAACACTTTAACAACAGCCGCTCTTGAACATTTAACGAATTCTGCTGTTTTGCTGATACTCGCTCCATGGCTCCGAGCGCCAACAATCATCCCACGTTCAAAGCTGTTAAATCGCATTGTTTACCCATATCTTCAGAGAAAAAAATCACTTCTACTGTCGTGGTAACCAACCTGCTTCCCTATTTATAATGGTCTGGCCCTCTAGCAACTTCAGCGCGAAATTATAGCTAATTTGCCTACAAACGTCAGGTGGTCATAATAATCTGGCCACTCAGTGTATTTGTCTACAAGGGAGGGAGGTGTCTGATGATCATGATGCCTCGTAACCTCTCCACAAAGTCCGGTAGAAGAATGAAAATGGTACCACATGGAAGTGTATAAATTTATATTCACTTTGAGACTAAAGATTATTAGCTAACTGTCATTTATTGTTCTTTTATTGCAAGGTACATTTGTCTTGGTCAGATCTACACATCATAGTTACATCTGGTGGCTTGTGAAAGGGTCATTGCCTAACATTTCCAAGGAACAGTTGCGTGATATTTTCCCTCAGAAGCCAAGATGCCTCGAAACTGTGTAAACAACGCAGATAACTTCTGCTGCATTTGTGGCGAGGTTACATTTGCATCTCAAAAGTGCAGTATGACGGAAGTGGTAAAAAAAGGCATACTACCTATATTTTGGATGCAAAATAGGGGATCAGGACAAGAGTTGGGCCCCTCATTATTGTTGCATTATATGTGCAACTTATCTGCGTCATTGGCTAAACAAGAAGAAAAAGTCCATGCCTTTCGCAGTCCCAATGGTGTGGAGGGAACCCACCAATCATATTAGCGACTGCTATGTTTGCATGGTTCCCCCAATTGCAAAAGGGATCTCAAGAAAGAAGTGGACTGTGGAATATCCAAATATTCCATCTGCACTGCGTTCTGTACCCCATGGTGTGGACTTGCCTATTCCAGAACCTACTCTCTAGACTTAGATGAGATAAAGACGATGAGCAGGATGCAGCTGATCTGGGGGCGTCGATGTCAGCTGACCCAAACTTTAGCTCACGGTATGCTCCTCCTGAACCACATCTAATTTCACAGAGTGAACTAAATGACCTGATCAGGGATTTGGAATTGCCTAAGAGTAAGGCAGAGCTACTGGGCTCCAGATTACAACAGTGGAACCTCTTGCAGAGTGATGTCAGGATCTCCATTTTCCATGATTGCCAAAAAGATCTGGTTCAGTATTTCTTAGTGGAAGGATTTGGTTTATTCATTACATTTAAAATGATTGGTGTGGCACCATTCTCATTGCTATATCACATTTTGCATTAAAAGAGAACTATGGGGTAAGTGTTTTTCCCCATAGTTCTCTTAAGGATCACGGGAGGACATATACTAGCGTCCTCCCGTGACTCAAAGCTCAGTATAGCGCGAGCTGTAGTTCGCGCTATACTGACACCGCCACAGCCGGGACAGATCCTGACATTACTGTCGAGATCCACCCAGCTGCGTGAGTGACAGCGGGCTCTGCCTATCTAGAGGCAGGGCCAGCTGTACCCGCCCCCTCCCCCGTCTGTTTCTCCAGTCAGTGCTGGAGGATCAGAGAGGAAAGGGGGGAATCCCTGCGGGGAGCAGCGACTGACAGTCGCGGCTCTCTGCAGGGAGATGATCGAAAAGTGAGCGAGCGACGGTATGTTTTCGCTCACTTCCCGATCTATTGAGCCGACGTGTGACAGTTTCATTGTCACACGTCAGCTCGAACTATGAGGTTGAGTGATTTTCCCTCGCCTCATAGTTCTTTAAAGTTATGAAGCATAATCTCACATCCTCGTAATTTTAAATTATTTTTGATGCAATTTTGACCTGAAGCTGTATCTTGGAAACTGCAGCCAATTAATACTCGGGACTTAATTTTTCTTTATTAGTGACCCAATTGGGGTAGAATTTAGCTATATTCATCTCCTTGTAGACCAGTGTAATTTGGAAGGAGGTCCGCATGCTCTTGGCCATATAATGCCAAAGCTCACTAGTGTTTGGATGTAATGACCAGATTTACAAAAACAACTGGACCCTCAAAGTGGCACTTGATTTGAATCATTGTTTACCAAGATGATAAACAATAGGGTTGCACAGATACCAAGTACAGTACTCGGTACAAGTACCGATACTTTTGAGCTCCAAGACTAGACTAGAGAAAAATTCAAAAGTTAGGAGGCAGCTGTCATTTGTAGGGAGCACACGGAGCTCCTGGGATTTGTACATCTCTGTTTTAATGTACGATTTTGTTTTTATAAATATAAATAAAGGGATGCACCGATACCAGTTTTGCGAGTACGAGTACTGATACATTTTTGTTTATTGTCATGTGACAGTTTTTCTAAAACAATACAGACTAATGATTTCAGAACTGTGGTGGAGCGACAGAGCCAGGACCCAGCTGCAACCGCTGCAACCCTGATAGTTCTCATGAAAATGCCAAGTATCTGCACTGGTACTCGAAAAGTATCTGTGCATCCCTAAAACAAGGTTCAGCAGTGAAGTCAGTCAAAACAATATAATTGTTATAAAGCATCAGTAAATTCACTTCAATTTATGAAAGATAAAAGTCAGCACGTTTCATACCTTCTGCGGGCAGAACTCAGGAAGCATGACACAAGTGGCGCCTACCCACAATGGACAAAACAGCTTGTTGACCACGCCATGAACATGGTGAAGGGGCAACACATGCAGGATACGATCTGTTTGGGTCCAAGCCCACTCCTCTACTAGAGCTGTTACCTGTATGGAGAGCGTAAGAAAATAAAAGTTGTTTGAGTGATAGGTTGTCACCTGTGCAAGTCCATCCATGACATTTCCTTGCTACTAAATATTCCACGATCAACTGTTAGTGGTATTATAACAAAGTGGAAGCAACTGGGAACACCAGCAACTCAGCCATGAAGTGGTAGGCCACGTAAAATGACAGAGAGGGACCAGCGCTTGCCAGGAGAACAGTACTTGCCTGACTGCATTGTGCCAAGTGTAAAGTTTGGTGGAGGGGGGATTATGGTGTGGGGTTGTTTTTCAGGGGTTGTGCTTGGCCCCTTAGTTCCAGTGAAGGGAACTCTTAAGGCATCAGCATACCAAGACATTTTGGACAATTTCATGCTCCCAACTTTGTGGGAACAGTAGGGGATGGCCCCTTCCTGTTCCAACATGACTGCGCATCAATGCACAAAGCAAGGTCCATAAAGACATGGATGAGCGAGCTTGAGGTGGAGGAACTTGGCTGGCCTACACAGGGTCCTGACCTCAACCCGATAGAACACCTTTGGGATTAATTAAAGTGGAGACTGCGAGCGCGGCCTTCTCCCCCAACATCAGTACCTGACCTCACAAATGGTCAAACATTCCCATAGACACACTCCTAAACCTTAAGGACGCCTTCCCAGAAGAGTTGAAGCTGTTATAGCTGCAAAGGGCGGGCCAACTCAATATTGAACCCTACGGACTAAGACTGGGATGCCATTAAAGTTCATGTGCGTGTAAAGGCGTCCCAATACTTTTGGCAATATAGTGTATTTAAATGACGACTTACTAAAAACATAAAAAAGTGTATTTTCATATCAAAATATGTTACACAAAATATGTTACACAAAGCTTCCATTAGTTAGAGCCACAAATCCCTTCCTGCGCCCCACAATGTCACATTCTGTTATTGAGTTTTGCTGTTCTTACCATAGCAGTAATATTGTGGTGAGTGCTGAGCACCCCCTTTGGTCTTGCCGTGGTCCCACTGGTGTATATAATCATGGCTCCCCTCTCTTTCCAGTCCAGGCCAAATTCAGGTGCGTTCTCCTCCATTAGCTCACCTGACTGACTGTAATGTGCTAACTCTGGTATATTAAGCTTTGCGATGCCTAGCTTATCAGCCAGAGGTGCCACAACCTCTGCATATGTTGTCTCGGCTAGTACCAGAGAACTTTGGGAGTCCTGCAAGATGTACTCTAGCTCAGGGGGTGGGTGATTCTTAAACAAAGGGACAGCAATGGCGCCACTCATCCAAGCTGCCCACTGGCAGACCACATAGGAGGAGTCATTAGGACAAAGGAAAGAGACTCGTTCAGGGAGGGTTTCATTGCTCGGATTGCCCAACAGGGAAGTTATCTGTTTGGACAGGGCGCAGCTCCTGCGATATAGATCCTGGTAACTGTGCTGCCCATGTTGGTCAACCAAAGCTGTTCTGTGGCCATATTTCGGCGCCTTATAAAAGACCGGTCCCCAGGCCTGGGCATGGCTTGATGCCTGTGTGTAAACAGAGCAGAAAAGTGTGCGCTGGTAGCATAGCCTTAGCTGGCGTACTAAGAGGCGGCTCCCAGCAGCCATCACCCCACTCATCAACAGAACACACAGTGGATCCAGAGGTTTGTGGTGCCAGTTCTTAAAAGCAGGATCATTTCATCCATAAACAATGACAACGTACAATCCCAGCTGGACGATCCATCCGCACTGCAAACACCAAAGCCAAGAGTTACTTTATGTTTTAGGTGTTCCATTCCTCCTTGGTAATAACATTATACAAAGAGCATTGTTAAAGGGCCAATAAACTTACAGCTTGGTTTAGAATTTCACTTATAAAAAAACATCTAAAAATTACTTCCAACTGAATATTTTTTAAGAGAGTTGAAGGGGTGTGGCCGGTTTCTGTCATTACAGTGGGCCTGAGAGAGAAGAGCTGCGATGGTATAGGTTTTTTTTCATGAAAAAAGTGTGCCTTTGCACAAAAAAGGTTGGAAAACACTGGATAGGGAACAGCTAGAAATGTTAAAGAAGAACTCTTGAACTGCATGCTAATTACAGCCAGGTAGGACCAACGTCTGAAGTTCCTCTTTTCTGCCAGAGCCGGAAGAGCTGCCTACAAGATGTCCACCTCTCTGGATATCAGACCTCGGAGCTGCCTACAAGATGTCCACCTCTCTGGAGATCCGGAAGAGCTGCCTACAAGATGTCCACTTCTCCAGATATCAGACGGCGGAGCTGCCTACAAGATGTCCACCTCTCTGGCGATTCGGAAGAGCTGCCTACAAGATGTTCACCTCTCCGGATATCAGACGGCGGACAAATACTTCCAGTCTTCTATTGGATTCAGTGCTGACACCTGGCACACTGGAAAGGATGGCAAGTGGTGTGCTGTCCCTGCTGAGGGACCATTTATAAAATGAGCGCACTGTCCCTCGGGAAATAGGCGGCTTCGAAACAATACACCTGTTAAGAGGGCAGCATGGAGGATGTCGCTGCTCACCTCCTGAAAATGCTTATTGTTTGCCTTCGGTATGTGTGAGTAGGGATGTGTGTGGGCATGGTGCATTCATCTGAGCCACAAAACTGTCAATGACAACCCCCCTCCGGGCCCAATCAGCTTTGTTTCATGTAGCCAAGGGGAGGGCAATGCCTCAGCCATGGCTGATTGGGCTGGGAGGGGTGTCATTAGGTTTTGCGGGAGCTCGAGCAAACTCGGTTCGCACCACATCCATCCCTTTTGTGAGTGACACACCTGGAACAAGCACCTAGCAAAGGAATAAAAAAAAAATTATGATTCCTTATTTCGATGGTTTTCTGGGTAACCACCAAAGAAAGTATTAATTAAAAAAAATGAGCATGGCAGCCAGGCAACTAGCAATTTCCAAAGGCGACCTCAGCAATGTCTGCCTCGAAACTTCTCTCAAGAGTGTCTGATGCCTGGTGATGTAGGGACATTTATAAACTGTGAGACGGAAATTAGGAGTCATAACCTCTCAGGAATGGAGACAGGAGCCCATTAGACTGATGATCAGAGAAATGTCAATGTGAAGGCTGCAGCCAGCAACAGTGACCGCCGCTACCCCGCAATGTCTTTTTTTTTTAATAAGCGCTCACCTTCTGCCTGTCACTGGGGCACGGTCCTCGCTGCACCCGTCCCCCGGAAACAAGCGAGGCAGCTGATGGTTCCGCACGGACAGCGATGACTGGTAATGGTAATTACACATCAGGAGGGAGAATTGTGAGGCACGAAGACTTCTTTTCCCTGAGATACCTCCGCAGAATGATCAGATAACAAGTCTTGTCTGTCTGTCTGTCATCCTGGTCCTCTAATTTTCTAAGAGATGTTCCTGATGTTCCATTATTGATAGTCTGAGTCGTCGAAACTATGTTTTTCTGTTCATTTTGTTTGATGGTTCTACAACTATCTGCTGCTAAATAGCAGAAAAAAAGTGACACACAGAATATATGCGCCGTGCTTTTTTATTGTCTCGTTTTCTGGCCGACGAACATTAGGGCCTGTGTCTATTACACCATTTGGAGTTGCCTGTGAGCTCATTCAGAATTCCTTAACAGGTCCAAATGAGGTCCAGTTCACCTCCTTCTGACCTGTAGTTTATCTGCTACTGACTGTGGTGTCACAAGGGGGACCCCCTACTAAAAGTCGGGCACGTGAGGGGGGTCCTGGCAGCATATCTGATACCACCAGGTCAATATCCCCTCCTCTCTTTGCTGGCATCCATCACAAAGATGGCCGCCAGCAATAAAGTGCATCACCGCACATGCATGATGACGTTACACCACAGACATCAAAACACATGGCTGGTGGCCGCACCGGGTGACACCCACCCTGGTGCTGCAGCTGTACTGACCTCCAGTTGACCTCCTGTCCTGCAGCTGACCTGCAGCTGATCTCCTTCTGACCTGTAGTTGATCTGCAGTAGACCTAATTTTGACCTGTAGTTGACCTACATCCGCTCTCCTTCTGTCCTGCAGCTGATCTCCTTCTGTCCTGCAGCTCCTCTCCTTCTGACCTGCAGCTGCTCTCCTTCTTACCTGCAGCTGCTCTCCTTCTTACCTGCAGCTGATTTCCTTCTGACCTTCAGCCGATCTCCTTCTGACTTTCAGCTGAACTCCTTCTGACCTTCAGCCGATCTCCTTCTGTCCTGCAGCTGATCTTCTTCTGTCCTGCAGCTCCTCTCCTTCTGTCCTGCAGCCGATCTCCTTCTGTCCTGCAGCCGATCTCCTTCTGTCCTGCAGCCGATCTCCTTCTGTCCTGCAGCCGATCTCCTTCTGTCCTATAGTGATATTTTTGATTTTGATTACAATTTCAGATAATGCAAAGAAAAGAAGAGTATAAACAAATTACCCATACTACAGGTATGGGTAATATATATTTATATTACATATTTTAATGTGCTATTCATTTATATTTATTATTTATATTAATTACTGCTGTGTTTGAAATATTAATTGCTGAATCCCGTCTTGCAATTCGGTTGATGTCAGATGTGCTCGTTTGCATTTAGTTGTTGAGTTCTACTACGCTGTGATGGCATTCCCTTCCTGACAATAGATGTTATGATGCAGGGGTGTACAGATCTATGCAGAATTCAGGAGCCATTCAGTCCAGTTTAGGAAGGGAAAATCTAAGGAGCCAGGTTCAGTTGACAACACAGAAAGCTCTAGAAAGTTAGATGGCAGCTTGTGATCCCCAAAACGCTTTGGCTTACAAAGAAAAATAAATAGACTCGCTATATTTAGTGTAATGGTTTTTCATGCCATCGCCAATGCTTGCCTACCTTGCCACATTCATCCTGCGTCCGAAGCTTCTCCGTTCTGGAACATTCGGAAGAGCTGCCTACAAGAAGTCCACCTCTCTTTAGACATCAGATGGCAGACATACACTTTAATTCTTCATTGGATTGGACCCTACCACACCTGACACATTGGAAAATTCTGAGGATGCATTCCTGCATCGGGAACAATGGCACCTTGTGAGCTGCGCCCTGCCCAGCGGGCCACTCCACGCAGCAATTTGTAAAACTTTTCTGCAGGAATGGGGGGGCTTTGCAACTATACACCTGTCATGAGAGCAGTTTGGAGGCTGTCACTGCTCACCTCCCAAAAATGCTTATCGCCCGGTGTTCTATCAAAGTTTGTGACTGCGTTAGAATGTGTGACCGGTGACGTGCTCACACATTTTAACGTAATCCCGCCCACTTTTTCAGCGGTGGAATATGTGACCGACAAAAGGTGAAGAATTCCAGCGCTCTCTCAGCTGTTCAAAGGCAGATTGGCATCGTAGATCGTATGTTCAGGAGAGCCGCTCGGCCCTGGAACAGCTGATCGGTCCTGAAATGTCGCTTCTATCTGACTTTGTGAGTGCTATCTCACATTCCAGAGAGTCGGATAGAAGTGACATTTTAGGACCAATCAGCTGTTCCAAGGCAGACCGGTTCTCTGGGCACATACCATCTGCGATGCCGATCTGCCCTGTACAGCTGAGAAAGCGTTGGAATTCTTCCCCTTTTGCTGGTCACATATTGCACCGCCGAAAAAGTGGTGTGATTACGTTAAAATGTGTGACCACGTGACCAGTCACACATTTCAACCCAGTCACAATCTTTGATAGAACAACGGCTTTAGTAGGGATGGGCATGGTGTAAACAGAGTTGTCCAAGTCTGCGCAAAACTGTCATTAACACTCAACCCCCTGGCCCAATCAGCTGTGCCCAGGACATTCCCTGCCCTGCAGCTACTTATGCATAAGGGGTCGGGAATACCCTGGCCACCGGTGATTGGGCCGAGGAGATTGTGTGCCCAGTTTAGGAAGGAGCGGGAAGTTGCAAGAGGGCAGGGAAAGTTGACAACACAAAAAGCTCACAAATTTTAGACACCAGATGTGAGATTTTAGGAGTCCGTCCAGCCCCATCACAAGTTATAAAATAAAGAAAAGAAAAACTAGGCCCAGTTTACTGTAAAGCTCAGGATGAGATCAGAGGTCACTTTGGGCCTCTACGAGCTCCTTCTGGCCTTGGCCTTGCGCATTGGCATGCTCCTCTGCGATATAACTGTTCTTATCTGTAGTTGGCGCATCGTTCCATTATCACATTGGCCGCAAAGCGCGATGGAATTCCCCGGCATCAGCTGTTCCCTGTGGGGAGGCCGGGGTTTTTCCCAGCCCCTGTTGTGTGTATCAATGTGGAAATCTGATTGTGAGAAGAAAACTGCTTGAGTTACCAAAGCATGTGTCAGCAGCAGATGAGCGAGAACTTGGCACAGCGCACCGTTTTTTCCGACGCGAGGATCTACTTGGCACACAGAACACGTTGGGCACATCTGCCGCTTCTGATAGCAGCTGCAGCGTGTGTTGGCACACACAGATATGCGTGGTGTTATTATCCCAGCACGGATGAGCGTGTCACCTACCTGTAGCGTTTCCATTACCAGCTCCCTTATGTAAACAGTGCGTGTGTATATACACCCGTCCTTCTGCTGATAGGCTGGCGATGGAACAGCTGCATGGTACACCCCATAGTGGTGGAGCCTGTTATCTCCATTCTGGTCTTATTCCGTAAGACCGTCAAGGTGAAATTAAGTTGTGAAGTCATCATCAGGTGTTCAGTCATTGGTTGAATTTTGTCTGTGTGCAGTGGCAGTGTGGATGCCATGACCGGTGGGCACCTGTTGGTTACAATGCCTTGATATATAAGGGTGTAATGTTGGTTGGAGTCTTGATTAAAAAATGCCATCAATAAAAATAATAAGGGGTGTATGCAAAAAAAAAAAAATACTGCATGAGAAACGTAATAAATGAAATAAATCACAATTGAAATGACAGTTTCATGTTAGGTTGCATGCACATGAGCAGTTTATGTCACCTGTAAAGCGATGATGCCAGTTAGCACTTTGATATGTGGATTCCTAAAGCAACACGAGGCAACAGAGTTCCAATACGGAAAAAAATAATGGAAGGCCAAGCTGCAGCAGTGATGGTAAGCAAAGCCCCTGGAGGGCAAAGAAAAAGGGTCACGTGACTATCCTACTCTCCAGCAGCATATACCAACCTTTCCTACCCCCTTCTCCACCCCTTTCCACCATTAGGAAATAAGTATAATATATCTCACACTTCCAGGTACAGAGCAGCGTGTGGCTCCCTCTTCCATGTGACAGCACTTGTTCCTCGTCATTGGTCCATCACTGCCACATTGCAAGGAGTCCTGCATGTACAAGGTGTCACTTACATGCATCGAGACGAAAGATTAAAAATAATATCCGATACCGTGTACAGATAAGCAAACAGGAACGAGTCAAAGCTTCTCAATAATAGGCAAATATTCAGCAGCATAGAATGCCAGAGGAGTGAAGGCTTTTGATGAATCACTAATTCTGGCTTTATCCTACACAGCAGAGTTAGCCAAGCTCTGGCCCCCCAGCTGTGGTGAAACTACAAATCCCATTAGGCTTTGCATCACTCCGACAGCCACAGACATGACCTCCGAAGGCAGATGCATGATGGGATTTGTCATTCCACAACACCTGGAGGCTGTCCCTTCTATACAGCACATAATTAACTCATGGAGGGGAATTTATCAAAGCTGGAGCAGACAAGATCTGGAGCAGATTCCCATGGCAACCAATCGGCTTCTCTCTTCAGTTTGTTCAGTTAAGATTTTAAAATGAAAGATAGATGCTGATTGGTTGTCATGCACAGCTGCTCCAGATTTTGTCTGCTCCAGTTTTGATAAATTCCCCCATGGTGATTTGTGCCACTTTTGAGTCCTTATGATCATACATTAAGTTGAAGCCCTGATGAAAGGGAAGGTCTTTGTGCCCCCGAAACGTGTTGGCTGTTCTATGTTGTTGTTTGTGAACTAATATGAAAAGTTTTTAGACTGTTTGTTTGACACTTTTAGTAGGCTTTGTATGTGTGAATCTTCTAATCTGGGCACCTTTGAAGGACACCCTGTTTTTTGAGAGTAGCCTCACCAGAGCCATTAAAGATCAGACTGATCTACTCATAATTTGAACCCAGTGCCTCGTTTCTACTTGTTCCAGGACTGAATCAGAACCAGTCTGAACACATTGGTGGGTCCCCTAGTAGGGATCCTACTCCTTATAAAAGCCTTGGTATCAGTGTA